TTGTGACTAATAATCATTTTGTTAAATCCATGGACCAGTGGGACCAGCTTGGACATTTATTCATTGACTAATGTACTGTATATATTAAGTTTATATGTATGCATGTAAAACTCAAGACAAACACAATTTGCCTGAATAAAAGTGAGTGGCGAGGTTGGTGTAGGATATCATTTTGGTTTATCAATTAGTGTTGTTTGATATGCAGTGTCCACATTTATGACGATGAACTAATGTATTGGCTTGAAGTTTTGATCCCAACCATTTTAGGAAATGTGATGCTAGTTTAGGGATCTGGGAATTCCCCATCTAATTTAGCAAATTGTGTGACCTTTGAACCTTGTGCAAGTCTTCAAGGCGTGATTGGGCCCACGTGCACAAAATGTACATGTACAGTACAAGGATTTTCTATAAGTCTCGCCTGTCGGCCGGGAGTGGCCTACAATGTGATACTTTTGGCCGAACTGAAGTTGGGCGGGCTCCAAGGTTTTTTTCGGGAGAGCGGGGAATGCTGTCCGAGACGACTGGGTGGAATGACGTCGTGATGGCTTGGCCGGGAGTCACATAGATTAGCACCGGTTTAATTGTCCAAGAAGTTGTGATTCTAGTGATGGCGAAATAAAAGAAATCCCGTCCACTTGAATACCCAAGTCTTTCAGTGCCTGCTGAACTTTCTTTTAGCCTGCCTGGCCTCCGATTCCTCCTTCAGTAGCGGACGGACAGCTGCTCCCGAGCAATCGGCCGGGGGCTGGACCACTACACTAGGAAGCCAGGTGTATTTTCTTTTAGGCGCTGACCAGTTTTGTTCTTCGGGGCATATTGATGTATGCATGTACATGCTAGGTTTGTTACCATTTTGTTATTTTTACCTTTTAAAAGTGAAAGCCATATCCCTTATACATAAAAGCAGGTGTACATTCGGAACAGACATTCGATAAATGCCTGCCCCACTCCCAGCATTACAGACATTCATTCCAACAAATTCATAGTTCCGAAAACGAAATAAACACCCGTTTGTAAGGTCTGGTAAGGGCGGAGTGACAATGCTGCTGAATATTCATAAATGAAAGCGGCAAATTCAAAGTTATTCTCCGATCTTCCAGTCTCCTCTGTATAATTTTTCCTGGAAAGCCACCGGGTCAAACGTGAGACACAGCGTACGTGCATGCACAACTGTAAAAATCAGTACGCCGTAGCAACAACGTGCTCATTTATCCAACCCGTTCTTCTGGAATTCCGAACACGCCGGATAAATGAGACCTGTACACCGGGCTTGAGACGAAACAGCGAGGGCTTGATGACCGGCGCAAACACGGGGACTCTCATCCCACAATCTGCAACTGGATTCAGTTCACAAACTGTCTCTTCCAGAACAAAATGCAGCTCTGCAGTGCACTTCACTTGGTCTGGATGGACTTTTCTTACAAATGTCACACCACGGACGACTCGCGACCACGGGTTGAAATGGTGCAGAAGTCAACGAGTCAACGACTTCTCACAGCTCGCGTAAAGTAGAGTTTCCTCCCCAAACCTCGCTAGTCTGACGTGTGTGTGTCATTCCATATGTCTTTGTTTGCCAAAGCCTGCATGTTATAGTCTCGAACTTTTCCAAAAATTTCTTTGTTTCTACAAACACACGGTCAAACGCGGGTCACACACAGACTCGTGTACTGCATCAATAAATAATCTGTTACACGTACAGAGACTGTTTGTTTACAAAGTGTGCTTTGCAGTTCACGTATCCCAAAAAGAAGTCCAATAGTCTTCATACATGTAAAAAGAGTACAGAGATACACCAAAAGTGATTCTAGGAAAAACTCGTTTCATGGATCCTTTAATCTGATTTGAAATAAACCTGACATATGATTTGACAGAGAGTTTTGAAAGCAATACACATTATTTAGAGCCGGCCAGTGGCTGGTGAGGATAATTGACCGAACAAAAGTCCCTTTCTGGTTTCAAAGGTATCAGACTGACCACTAAAATGTAGCCAAATGATCTTTGTGTATTTTAAGACTAAATTAAATGTTTCTTGAGAAAGTCCGACACCCTTTTTAAAATAATGTTTATAGAAATCCTAAAAGAGGTCAACCCGCAGACACATTAACCTCAGTTCCCGTGTTCCAAGGAAAGTGTTAGCGATGTGTTAGCTGTTTACAAACCTGATGAACCCAAAACTGTCTTGGTTTTCCAAAATAAAGGAGGTGAACAGATATGCATAATTTGAACGTACAGATAATAAGGCATGCAAGCCCACAATATACATGATATACATAAGACGTAAGCCAAAATATTTATTACTAGTGCTCCTTCCCTGCTTTTGGAAGTAATTGGAGGCAATGTCCCCATCCCCCGTTTTATGGCCCTTTTTGCGGTGTAACCATAGTTGTCAGCTGAGCCGAACTTTGAACGTAGTAGCTGTAGGTAATATTGATGGACCTTTTGTCCTTTGTCCAATACACCTGTCGGAGAAAAACAATTAAAATGCATCAATCTAGGTATGAAATCGTCCACATCACCAAAGTCAACTTTTGACTTACCGTTGTTAAATAAAAAGGGCTGTGTGTCCGCCCCGTGTAATTTACCAAGTATCATCTCCTCCGTTTTTTGCCAATCCTTTTCGAATTCTAGAACATGTTTGGGATTAATTTTACTAAATTTTGGAGTATATTAGAGAAAAGTGCACAAATTGCATTGGCTTTTGAGCAGATGGTGAAGAAAAAACACAACTAGGTTATCTGTCTGTTTGCCAACAGAAAAGAGAGCCTTTTTGCGTTCCTTTTGCGTTCTTAATTTCAGCAACCAATGATATGTTAATACCAATAAATATTTCATCAAGACCATTTGCAACCCAATCAGGCATGCACGCCAGGATGAATGTACGTATAATGTAATTTTGATAACGTCATTATTACATCAGATAAACTGAAAAGCTTCTTTTTTCTGGAAATATGGGGCTTGAATCATTGCAACTTTAATGTTACGTGACTTATCTTCCGATGACGTCATCATCACACGATGTCAGTATTTCTCTAAATCACTTCCTTTCCAGGATATCAGCAAGGTTTCGACCCAAGCAGACATGTACCTCAAGAGATATAGCGCTTGGAAGAGTTCACCTTTGATGTCACCTGATATGTTAATGTGATGACGTCATCATCACATGACTTTTATTTTCATATATAACCATCCCCTTTCTAAATATCAGCCAAGTTTCAACCCAATCAGACATGCACTTAAGGAGATATAGCACTTAAAAGGATTCACCTTTAATGTCACGTGACTCGTCTGCTGGTTTATATACCTTCCCTTCCAAACTATCTTCAAGGTTTCAACACAATCAGATATACACAATATCAGATATGCCCAATACAATACAAAACACGAAAGAGGAAAGTGGTTGTGGACAACCACGGAGCTGCTTTGGCTTAAAAGGGTTTTCACAAAATCATTTAAATAAAATTACTTTAATGGCTAAAATATGAAAATCAGTCAGTGGAAACTGTATAGGTCACATGCTTTTATATGATACTACCACCAGATGAATCAGTTTCCGTCTGCAACCCTTTTGTTTGTAGCTAACTGCAAAGTTTCAACAAATTAGACATGTACTCCACGATATATTTCAATTTAAAGGGTGCCCCTTTAATGTTACGTGACTTATCACCGATGATGTCATATCTTCACATCAGGGCAATCTGGGTCTAAAACCTTCTCCTTCGAACTACACACAAAATTTCATCCAAATCAGACATGCACTTCACGCAATTTAGTGCTTTAATTAATACCCCTTTAAGGTCACGTGACTTGTCACATGAAGACGTCATAATCAAATGTGGTCAATTTGGGTCTAAAACCCGTCCCCTCCCAACTAAATATGTTTAAACCTAATCGGCATGTACTTCAGGAGATATCTTTTTATTAAGTGCACCTTCAATGTCACGTGACTTGTCAACCGACGACGTCATACTTGCATCACTTCAACCTGTGTCTAAAACCCTTCCGCTTAGAGCTATACAAAAAAGCTTCAAGCAAAAGGACATATAATACGTGAGATATAGTGCTTTAAAGAGTGCCTGTTTAATGTCACGTGACTGAACATTTCATGACGCCATCTTCACATCATGTCAATCTTGGTCTAAGACCCTTCCCCGTCGAGCTATACACGAATTTTCAATCAAATCAGAGATGTACTTCACCAGATATAGTACTTTAAAGAGTGCCCCTTTAATGCCACGTGACTTCATGCTGATGACGTCATTATGGTAACTTGTACAGGAACCTGTTCTAACTTGTAGCCCTAATGTGTGCCCCTTACACGAACTCAGTCAGATCGATAACAGTGCAAAAGAAGTCTTCCCGTTGAAAAACATGTAAAAGACCTATTAATATAGGCAACATTAAATTTTAAATTTAAAAAAAAATCACCTGATGACGTCATCATGCCAATTATGGTGTTGGACTAGCCTTAATAATTGTGGGAAGGTTTGGTAAGTATGAAGTTAATCAGATCTTCTAAAATGACAAATATTCAAGTAAAACAAATATGTCGTTGAACGACGTGTACTTAAACTTGATCCAATTGAATAAGCAATCTTTGTAAGACTCGTGTTGTAGGTTTCATTCAGATACGACCTTTGTGATATCTTTGGCTTTTTTGAGGTTGACGTTATCTTCGAGTAAGATCATATACATCTTTGGACGTATACAAATGGCTTCTGGTATGCTTGTCCCGCCAAATTTGTATTTAAATTTACCGATGACTTTTTTGTAATAGGTTCGTGTAACTTGTGATCTGTCGCGTAATTACCAAAATCAAACTGACTGCGCATATCTAATAGGTCTTGGTAAAAGTCATCCGTTTTTATTTCAACGAGTAAGCGGTCGGTGTCGGTATACATTAGGCTTAACCGGTCACGATAACGAAAATTGAACGTGTTGTAATAAAAGTCATACATTAACATTTCGGAAAGATCGCAACCCCCTCATAAATTGGCTGGTTGAGTACGACTTTGGTTGTTATCATTCTTTGAAATACAACACAAGGTTTATTTACCATGCGTGTATATTTTACAACGTCACGATTGTTGTTGTCGCGCGTTATTTTTGCGTTACAACGTTTGTGAACGTTTTCCATTGTTTTGCCATACACCGCATTGTTGGCAAGTTTAAAAAAGTCTTGATCGTTACGATATTTTGCCTGTTTACAAAGGTCTGGATTCTTTTCGATGTAACTACGTAACGAGGGCCGTTGTCTAAATTGCACCACACGGTGTACTTTGGTTAACTTTAATCCGATTCGTAAATATAATGGTAGTAATCGATAGTGTACAACGTATTACTTTTAGGTGCTAACGTTGTAAGAAGGTCCCTGTCTACTGACCGCGCAATAATTGGTAGGGCGCTCTCAGTAGTTTGCTCATTCTCGCACCGTACATTCCGTTCTAAAACCAGGTTTACCAAGCACATTTCCAATCAGAATACCTCCAAATTTGTCATTACCGTGCGTTGCTGACAATTGTGAGTACAGCCATATGTTCTTTGGTGTTTATAGTATAAGATCATATAGTGATTCTTGTGTTAGTATATAAAATAGAGGAGTTTAGAGTACAAACCTGAGCTTTAATCGGGGACAATTGTTACAACGTTACATGTACAACTATGTTGTCGTCTAGTGGGCACATGTACGTGCATTCCAGTTAATTTATTAGTATTTATTTCTGTTTATTTCCCAGTCGCCACGGTTTCCTGTTTCATATATTTCCAAAACTTCATCACCGGTTTCATCTCCACCATTCCGCTCACAAATCACAGTTTCCCCAAGATTACTACTGTATCCAGGCCAATTGCAAGTCACTACCCCCTGTTTCTAATTATCTGGGTATAATAAACAGACAGTTTCTTCATTAAACCATCCTGCTCATCAGTTTAACCGCTGCCATAGAGTTGTTGTGTTACCCTTTTGAGCGACTCCTCCCTTTCCAAGTGAACCTTGTCACTTCTTCACATGGTCCTTCGAGCCGGATTCGAACCAGCGACCTATGGATGATCTAGAGCAAGGAAACAAAGAACTGCAAGAGACGGCATCCACAAATGATGTCCGTCCCAGAAGGGAAAGAAGGATTCCGGGGCATGACTTCGTTGTCAGCTACAATACCCAGTCCAAGTCCAAGAATGAGCACAAATTGGATTCCTGCTCAGATAAAGGCTCTATAGCGTCAAGTCACCATTTGCCAATTAAACTGAGCAGTGCTCAGGAAGCCAGGCTAGAAGAACAGAAGAAAAGACAACATGTGGAGGAGATGAAACGTCAGCTTGAGGAAGAGAACCAACTTGACGATGAGTTGAGGAGACTTGATGATGCTGCATATGAGGTACGGATAGCTGCTGAAGAAGAGGCACTTGCAGCTAGAAGACGAGCAGAGAAAACTGAAAGAGAGGCCCAGCGTCGGTGAGAACAGCTGAATACACAGCTCTCCAGGAGAAGACGACTGAGAGAGGCCGAGCATGAGCTACAGAAAGCCCAACTTATTACGTCTATGACCACTGAAACTTCGCAGCAGTCAGGTGACACTTTGCCTCAGCAACATACACTTCAACCAGGTTTCCACTGTGTCCCCAGAAGAAAAGGGCACAATCCACACCCAACAAGGCCCATGCCAAGTCACCTGTCATACGCAGTGAAAGTCACTCAATGACATTTACTACCTCTGTAGCTAACACATCTGTGACCTTTTCACCTCAGCATGCCACAAGGCCTGAATCTCAGTTACCAGCTACATCGGCCATAGCCTCTCACCCCTTGGCTGGCATGTCTCCTTCGCCAGGTGCAGCTCTGAACCCTGCACCACCAATCCCCAGTGTGCAACCAGTAGTGGGGAAGCCACATGTCACCCCGCCATTGCACCCAGCTTCACCAGTCATGCCGAACATGACAGAACTACTGATCGCTTCATCTTATGGCGTGCCGCGTCCAACCATACCATACTTCACAACCGG